AAAACTCATATTTAAAAAATAAAAAATGAAAGAGGTGACATTACAGCTAATACCACAGAAATACAAAGGATTTTAAGAGACTACTACAAACATTTATATTAAAAAGTGGATAATCTAGAAGAAATGGATAAATTCCTAGAACATACAACCTACTAAGACTGAATCATAAATAAACAGAAAACCTGAACAGATCAATAATGACTAAGGAGACTGAATCAGTAACCACACACCTCACCCTAAAAAAAAAGTTACTATCAAATATATATAAACAGACCATATAACTCAATATTTTAAAAAAAGAAATCAAAAAGTGGGCAGAATATCTGAATAGATATTTTTCCAAAGAAGACATACACATGGCCAACAGGCACATGAAAAGATGTTCAACATCACTAAGCATCAGCAAAATGCCAATCAAAACCACAATGAGGTATCATCTCATACTTGTCAAAATGGCTATCCTCAAAAAGATCACAAATAACAAATGTCGGCAAGGATATAGAGAAATGGTAAACTTTATATAATGTTTAGGGGAATGCAAATTGGTGCAGCCACCGTGGAAAACAGTATGGAGTTTCCTCCAAAGACTAAAATTGAATTACCACATGATCTGGCAATTCCACCCCTGGGTACACATCTAATTCAAAAATATACATGCACCCCAGTATTTGTAGTTCATTATTTACTATACTCAAGATATGGAAGAAACCTAAATGCAGAAAAATGGATAAAGAAGATGTGATGCATATATACAACAGGATACTACTCAGCCATAAAAATGAACGAAAGTCTGCCATTTGCACAATGTGGATGAAATTGGAGGGTAATATGCTTAGTAAAATAAGCCAGACAGAAAAACAAATACTTTATGTTATCATGTACTTGTGGAATCAAAAAATGAAACAAACAAATATATATGACAAAAGAGAAACGGACTCACAAACGTAGACAACAAACTAGTAGTGACCAGTGGATAGAGAGAAGAGAGAGTTGTAAGATTGGAGTATGGGATGAAGAGATACAAATTACCTTGTATAAAATAGATAAGCAACAAGAATATAGTGTACAACACAGGGAAATATATCCATTATTTTCTAATAACTTTAAGTGGAGTATAATCTATAAAATATTGAATCACTATATTGCACACCTGAAATTAGTACAAAAAACTGTACTTCAATTTTTAAAAACAAGACAAAGTTGTTTTATGAATGAATTCTATCAAACATTTCAGGAAGAATTAATACAAATTCTTCTCAAACACTTCCAAAAAATTGAAGAAGAAGGTACAATCTCAAACTCATTTTAGAAAGCCACCATATTCCTGAATCAAAATCAGATAAGGGCACTACAAGAAAACTACAAACCAACATCTTTGCTGAACATAGATGCAAACAATTCTCAATGGAATATTAGCAAACTGGTGTCAACAGTACATTAAAGGGATCATACACCATGATCAAGTGGGATTTATCAGTAGGATGTAAGGATTGCTCAACATGTGCAAATCAATAAATGTGATATACACATTAATGGGGTAAAAGATTAAAATAATATGACATCTCAACAGATGCAGAAAATCAATCTGACAAAATATAGCATCTTTTCATGATAAAAATCCTCAATTGAGTATAGAAGGAACATCCTTCAACATAATAGAAGCCACATAAGAAAAACCCTCAGCTAACATTGCCCAGTGGCGACAATTTGAAAGATTTTTCCTTTAAATTCAGGAAAAAAAAAAGAGTGCCCACTCACACAACTCCTATTTAACATAATAATGGAAGTCCTAGTCAGAGCAAGTCAGGTAAGAAAAAGAAGTGAAAGGCACCCATATTGGAAAGGAAGAACTAAATTTTCTTTGCTTGTAGATGTTATGATTTTAACAGAAAATCCTAAAGACTCAACCAAAAATTTGTTAGAACTAATCTACAAATTCAGTAAAGTTGCAAGATAAAAAATCAATATACAGAAATCAATTGTTTCTATACCCTAGCAATGAAATATCTGAAAAAACTAATAAAAGGAACAATTCCATTCACAATACAATCAAAAACCATAAAACACTTAAGAATAAAATTAATCAAGGAAGTGATAGATCTGGACACTGAAAACAACAAGACTTTGATGAAAGAAGTTAAAGACACAAATAAATGGAAAGATAACCCACCTTCATGGATTGCAAAAATTAATATTATTTAAATGTCCATACTACACAAAGCCATCTATAGATTATATGCCATCTCTATCAAAATTCCAATAGCAGTTTTCACAGAAATAGAAAACACTATCCTAAATTCATATGAAATCACAAATTACCCCAAAGAGCCTAAGCAATCCTGACAAAGAAGAACAAAGCTGGAAGCATCACACTTTCTGATTTCAAACTATACTACAGAACAACAGCAATCAAAACAGTACAGTACAGCAGGAAAAGAAAAAGACATAAACAGACAGAACAGGTCCAAGATTCCAGAAATTAACCCTTCATATGTCATATTTGATAAAGAAACCAATTTACTAAAAGGGAACAAGACAGTCTCTTCAATAATGATATTGGGAAAACTAGATAAACACATGCAGAAGAATGAGATCTGACCCCTATTTACACCATGCAAAAAAATTCACTCAAAACAGATTAAAGACTTAAACATTAAACCTAAAACAGTGAAACTTCTAGGAGAAAACATACAGAAATAGTTCCCTAACACTGAAGTTGATAATGACATGACTTTTTTATATAATAGTCACCCAAACTGGCCTAAGAGTGTATCTTGTGGGGTTTTTTTATTGAAGTATTGCTGATTTACAATATTGTGTTAGTTTCAGGTGTACAGCAAAGTGATTCAGTTATACATATAGATGTACATATCTGTATTCTTTTTTATTCTTCTCCCTTCTAGTTTATTACAAGATATTGAATATAGTTCCCTGTGCTATCCAGTAAACCCTTGTTGTTTATTCTACATATGGTAGTGGCGCTGTTAATCCCATACTCCCAATTTATCCCTCCCCTCTCCCTTTCAATTTGGTAACCATAAGTTTGTTTTCTATGTCTGTGAGTCTGATTCTGTTTTGTAAATGAGTTCATTTGTACTATTTTTTTGAATACCAAATGTAAGTGATATCATATAATACTTGTCTTCATCTGTCTGACTTACTTCACTTGGTTAATAATCTCTAGGTGCAACCATGTTGCCACAAATGGCACTATTTCATTCTTTTTTATGCTGAGTAATACTCCATTGTGTATATATACCACATCTTCTTTAGCCATTCATCTGTTGATGGACACTTAGGTTGCTTCCATGTCTTGGCTATTGTAAATAATGCTGCTGTGAAAATTGGGGTGCCTGTATCTTTTCAAATGAGAGCTTTTATTTTTCCTGGATATACGCCTAGGAGTGGGATTGCTGGATCATATTTTCAGTCTTTTAGGAACCTCCGTATGTTTTCCATAGTGACTGCCCCGATTTACAGTCCCACCAAGAGTGTTGGTGTATTTCCCTGTTGATTAGTGATGTTACGCACCTTTTCATATACCTGTTGATTATTTCTATGTCGTCTGTGGAGAAATACCTATTGAACTCCTTTCCCTATTTTCAGTCAGCTTATTTATGCTTTTTTTCTATTAATTATAGTGGTTCCCTACTAGTTACTGGTTAATATCCAAACCTTAGGGAGTCCCTAGAGTTTGGGTATTAACTCTAGCAGATATGAGGCTGCCAAATATTTTTCCCATTCGTTAGATTTCCTTTTCATTTTGTTGGTCATTTCCTTTGCTGTGCAAAAACATTATAGATTGACATAATCCCATTTCTCTATTTTTGCTTTTGTTTCCTATACTTTTATTGCCAAGATCAATGTCCAGAAGCTTTTTACCTATGTTTAGTTCAAAGTCCTTAGCTTAGCTATAATTCTCCCTCTTCACCAAATTTTCCACTCTACGCTTCTGTCACTGTCATACCCTCTTTCCTCACAGAGGCTAAAATACATTTATCACTTTATTCCCCCCTAAACTGATCACTCAGCATTTTATTCTGAATCATCATAAAGGGCGCAGTCTGAAGACTGTCAATATGAACATTCTGACCCTGAAATATTTATAATTTGAATGCAGGGTGATGCATTTAGAGTTCACAATTTTCAACTGAAAGATTAAATGATGTTAGGTTTATAGATGGTAAGGGATACTTTAAGTCTCCCATTTCCCCTGTGAAAGATTTGAGTGTGTGGCTGCCATGGTTGTCTCTTATTTCAGGATGGGCACAGTCAGGCAAGGATAACCCAAACATCTCACACCACAAATTGACACCTGAAGTCTATAGATTAATTACCTTATTTGGTTGCGTGTAATGAGCCTTTTTTCACAAAATCAGACATCCAAATTATAACTACAATTACTTCTTAATACAATTCAGTGCCAACTCACTATGCACCTAGGTTTTATAGATGCCTACTAATTGCAGTGGGGCATCCATGACATGATGACCAATCTCCAAATCCACACACATTTAGCTCACTGAGTCCAGGAGCGACTATACACAGAAGCCACAGCAGACCTACAGTGCTGGTCTCCATATCTGTGTCTTCAAACAGGTGAACCTCCTGTCTTGAAACAACTTCCTCTCCCTTACCACAGGTAATTCCTTCTCATCTTTCTGAATGAAGTATTATGGTACTTTACCTCTAAACACTGCTCTGAATTACTCCCCAGATTTTATGGAGATGTCATTTTCTGTGTCCAGTACAGAGAGCTCTGTGGCAACAAAATTGCATTCACCACAATGAATCTAATTCTACATTTCCAACTATAGCTCCCTGGGAACGAAGGCAACCCACAACAGTGTAAATTCCATACCAGCAGTGATCTGGACACACTCACCTGTCTGAGAGATGGCCATATATGAGGCCTCCCACCAGCATTCCAACCATGAATAGGAACTGAACCACTGGTTTCTGTGACTGATAATCACATACTAGGTCCCACTGAAAAAGAAAGAAACCAGCACAAAGGAGCTTCACAGAATCTTATAATCCCTCAAAGTTCACTCACTCCCATAACCCTCACACACTCTCTGGCTTCTATTACTAAATATACTCATCTGTATCATTCAAGTCTCAGTTTTAGTATAGCTTCCTCTAGAAATCCTCAACTAGTTCTCCTAGGTTATATCAGGGCCAATCTTCATATTTACTTAGGACTGCATACTTCATTGGTTCTCAGTCTTTGCCACACATTGAAAAAATTGAAGGGGGAGTTAAATACTGAAGCCTGGATTTTACAACTACAATGAAATACAATCTGATTTGTTTCTCTGACAAGTAGGCAGAGCATGAAAACAAATTTTTTAATTAATATAAATGTTTCAAATTTTCAACTAGACTGAGAGCAAGTGAATAAGAATAATGTTTCATACATTATTTCAGGTACTTCCTTGTATAATCATCATTTAATTTAAAGCTTTGTGATACTAAAATTCATGTCTAGTTGTTTGATTTCACTGGCCTCAATTGTAATGTAAGTGCTTGACAATTAAAAAGATAAACACTTTTTGCTAAAAGAATGAAAGAAAGGTGGTTACACTATCTACTCAGTAGCTGAAGACTTGAACTGTGTTTATTTTACATTATTCTAAACACCCAGACCATGTACTCACGAAAGGTAAATTGGACTTTTACCTCAGTAATGATGGTGGAGGAGAAGGAGCTTTGATCATACACCCAGCCATCTACACAGGGCTCCGTGTCCAGGTCAGTCATGTTGGGGAAGGTCCCGTTCAGGTGAAGGAGCTGCCACTGGGGGAGGAGGAAGCGATGACATTTTTCTGGTTTCAAGTTTGAATCCAATGGGATGGAGATTTTCAGTAGGTCATCACGGCTAAGTATCCCAGTGTCATTATCAGAGACAGTGTCATTATCCAAGATGTGGACCCAGCAGCGATGACCAGGAATGGCTGCAGTGAAATTCTCCAACAGCATCTGACAGACTCCAAATATCACAGAGGGAAGAACGAAAACCATCTGAAGGATCTGGAATTTTCCCAGGCCACCAGCTTTATCCAGGAGCTCCTCAAAGGCCATTGTGAACAGGTGATCCTCAAGAGGAAGCACAATGACTTTATAAGTTCAAAGGGAGGAAAAAAGTTTCCTTTCATTAATTCACATTAAGTCTATGTGACCTCACACCAGTTTCTCATAAGTGCGTCCCACCTACCTCACTACTTCAACAGAGAAACAGGAGCAGTTTCCCCAGTCCTTTGGAATCAAGAAGTATTACTTTTTTAGTAAAGTCATGGAGAAAATTATTTACCAAAGGTACTTCTATCTGATGACCATTAAATCTGTTTAAAGGTTTACTCTCTGAATGTTGCTTGCCCTCAGTGATTCTGTGAAATCAGCATAGGACTTTGGCATGTACACAACCTCTAAATAATCTAAAATAAGCCTGCTACACAGTCTTCAGTCATTTCCAGAAAATGGAATCTGAGAGGCACAAAAGTGAAAACCTTTATGATTTTTCTGTGGCAAGAACAGAAAGCAAGTTTTTTTTCATTTACTACTGAATTTAGATTAAAATAATTAACAAAATACAGTTCTCTATTTGTAATTAATGGAAAGTGGAATGTGGTGCAATTACATCCTTTTGGTAACTGATTCTGTGATTCATCAGGAACTCACAATAATTTTAAATTCCTCAAAATAAAGATACAGGAAAAAATAAATGGTAAACTCTTACAAGGGTTTTTTCTCACAGGTTTATTCACTTACAGAATATATTTGAGGATCTTTTATGTGCTGGTGTCAGAGCTCTGGTGACAAATTGATCATTTTATCCTTATGAACTTGGCTTCCTTATCTCTGATAATGCTTCTCAATTTCAAGTACATATTTTCTCACATTAATATCGCCATTGCAGGTTTATAGTTACAGTTTGTATGCTACAACTTTCCAACCCTTAACTTTTTGAATTGAAATGTTACTTGAAATTATTGTAGATTCACATACAGTATCAAGAAATAACATAAGGGGGTAACTGTGTGCACTTCATCTCATTTCTCCAATAGTAACATTTGCAATATTTTGGTATAATAGCACAACAGTGATATTAATACTGATATTGTCTCCTGATCTTATTTAGATTTGCCCAGTCAGATTGACCTATACTTCTGTGTGTGTGTGTTTGTGTGTGTGTGTGTGCAGTTAGTATTATGTAGTTTTATCACATCTGTAGTTTATTCAGTGCACTCACCACCATAGTCAAGATACTAAAGAATTCCATCTCCACAGATATCCCTCTTGTTGTACTGTTATAAATACATTCACCTCCCTCTTACTCTTGTCATTCCCTTTTCTACCTTTGGAAAACACTAATCTATTTTCCATTTTTTATCCTCTGCCACTTAAAAAAATGTTATATACAAGAACAATAAGGGGAAGTAACATCATCAAGAAGGTACCATAGGTCATTCACAACTCTGTCCTCCTCAAAAGAAAACCAGCCAGCAACTAGTTGACAGACAGGTCACCATTGTGAAAACCTCAGAACCTGAGAGTGAGGCTAAAGCAACCCCTGAACCACAAAGTTAGAGAAAAAGCACTGCTTACACATGGCACAGATACCAAGACAAGAAATCAAGGGTCATGAAGAATCACATAAACATTACACCAGAAAAGGAAAGAAAACTCTAAAACCTGACAATAAAGAAATGGAGATCTAGTAGCTTTCTGAAAAAGAATTCAAAATAATCCTCTTTTAAAAGTTCAGTGATATCCAGAGGGAATTCTAACTCAGAAAGATACATGCACCCCAATGTTCACAGCAGCACTATTTAAAATAGCCAAAATATGGAAACAACCTAAATGACCATTGACAGATGACTAGATAAAGAAGTTGTGATATATATATATAATATATATTATATATTATATATATATATATATAAAATGGAAAATATGTACTTGAAATTGAGAAGCATTATCAGAGATAAGGAGGCCAAGTTCATAAGAATAAAATGATCAGTTTGTCAGGGCTCTGACACCAGCACATAAAAGATGTATATAAAAGATATATATATATATATATATATATATATATATATATATATATATATATATATATATATATATATATATA